CACACACACACACTTTCAAGGGACAGCGGTGAAGAAGACCGATAAGATACCTGCTCTGTACATTTCACTGTGTGTGGAGGCAGCAGGCAATAAAAGATAAACAAATAAATAACTGAGCTAGTTACTAGTAGTGACAGCCGTTGTTGTCATTTGTTTTACCATCAATTCGGACTCCTGGTGACCCCATGTGTGTCACAGTAACTATGAAGATAATCAACTAGAGAGATATGATGGAGAATGACTCATGAGAGGAACGTAGGAGGTGATGGGAAAAGGAAGATTTCTTGAAGGTGACCTCTGAAACAAGACCTGGGTCATGTGAGGATCCTCATTTAGGGGGTGGGGGAGAAGCATTCCACAAGGACGAAAAGGCTACTGAAAAGACTTTCAGGCAGGAAAAAGGTTTTTGTAAGATGGAAGACTAGTGTGAGTAACAAGGAGTGTGCAAGAGAGAATGATATGAAATGTGGGGAGAGTGTTAGGCTGGGCCGGACTGTGGATTCTGCAGCCCATGACAAAAGACTGGTATTTCTTCTAGGAGTTGTTAGCTGACTGTAGTGGATTTCAAATAAGGTACAGAGCAGAATCACTTCATTCATACTTTCTTGGTTGTAACTGTAATGGAAATAGAGCAACAGATTTTTCTTCTCTCATTTCACTTGGTAGATTTGAACTATTCGCTCTCAGGTTGGTAAGCAAGGCAAATCATTTGTCCCATCTTGGGACCTTCTTTTGGGAGGAATGGGAATGTATTTAATTAGTTTTGAGCAGAAGAGTAATATAGCTTAATTACCCTTTTAAAAGACTCCTTGGGCTGTTGGGTAGAAAATGGACTTTGAGGGAAGGGATGAAAAGTGGAATCAGGGAGATTATTGTAAGAGATTATATGGCTATATCCTGACTGCTGGTGATAAGAGTGTTGATTGTGGATCTGAGCAAGCTGTAATTGCTAACAACCTCAATCTCCTCTCCATCTAATATGGTGCTGCCAATTTACCCAGTGGTGAGAATCTTTGTCTTCTTGATTTTGAGCTGCAATCCATATTGAAGACTACAGTCCTTGTCCTTTTGCAGCAAGTGCTTCAGGTCTCCATTTCAGCAAGCAAGGTTGTGTCATCTGCATATCATAGATTGTTAATTAGTCTCCCTCCAATTCTGATGCCACACTCCTCCTCATAAAGCCCTGCTTCCCAAATGATCTGTTCTGCATACAGATTGAAAAGGTACAGGGACAGAATGCATCCCTAACACACTCCTTTCTTGATTTTGAATCATGCAGTATTTCCTTGTTCTGTTCTGAGGACTGCTTCTTGGTCCAAGTATACGTTTTGTATAAGCATGATCAAGTGTTCTGAGATTTCCATTTCCCTCAAAGTTAGCCACAATTTATCGTGATCCACACAGCCTCTCCTTGGAGGCTAGGATTTTGAAGCTCCCCCTCACTAACTTTGGGCACATATCCAGGAGAGATCAGTCCTTGGAGAAGGACATCATGCTTGAAGGGTGGAGGGACTGCGTAGGAGAGGAAGACCCAGCATGAGATGGATTGATACAGTAACTGGGGCAATAGGGGTTGGTGTGTCGGAGTTAGTGAGACTGGCTCAGAACAGGCAAGGATTCAGAGCACCTGTACGTAGGGTTGCTATGTATTGCAGGTGATTCAGCCAATAACATTGTATGACAGGTTTGGAAGCAGGAGTGGCATCCACTTCCTAAACACTATGAACTCTATGAACTTTGACAAATGTTGATAGCTGTAGAGGGGCTTCAGGCCTTTTGTTCATAGGGTCACTATGAGTCGTTCTTGATGTGAAGGCAATCAACAATAATAGCAACAACAACAACATATGGCTATTAAAATAATTCAGGTTAGAAATGACAGCAGCTTGGTCTGGGATAGTGCTGGCAGTAGAAAGATATATTTGGAGTTTGAGTAAGGTAGAGTTAATAGGTCACATTCTCCTTTGCTAATTTCTCTTAGGAATTCTTTCCACACAATCTCTAGGTGAAACCTCCATCCACATTAAGGGCTGAATTAAGGGAGCAGACCTCAGAGAACAGTAAATGGAGTATTGCTAGATACAGCAATGCAAGACTCGGGCATTGTATTTGCTATGAATTGGTTCCCTTTTCTATCATTTAATGAACAAAGCCTCTCTGCTGTCTCTCCATCCTCTGCTGTCTTCCATTTAAGAAAAAAAAAAACAGTTAAAAAAACCCCACCCCACTGCCACCAAGCCATTTCTAACTATATTACTGAGTTACTTGTAACTCTACAAAACAGAGTAGAACTGTCCGGTAGGATTTCTAAGGCTGTAGATCTTTATGGAAGATTGTCACATTCTTCTACTGTGGAGTGGCCAATGGATTTGAATTTCTAACCTTTACATTAATAGCTAAGTCCTTAGCCACCAGGACATTTAGCTTCCATAGAACTAGTTATTCACTGGATCTCTGCACAAATGGATGTGTCTGTACCTCCCTCCACCCAAGCTGTGTTGGTGACACTCAAAACAGCCCTGAGTACTTGTTGTTTGTGTATGATACATGTTAGGGAGCCAGTATAATCTGGGAGCATTGGCCCTCAGACCCAAGGCCATCACTTATTCTTGTTTATACACAACAGAGTGGAGTCAGATTTGTTCTTACAGGAAATATGTACATATGTGTACACACACACACACACACACACACACACACTGTGACCTCAGGTTGGGCATTCCTGGAGAGCTTGAGAAAAGTTGGGCTGACCTTACAAACACTCTTGGTCAGGGGTAGGAGGGAGCAGGCAGGAGAAGAAGGTGACCCAGTCTGTTCTGGAGTCAGCAGGCCTTGCTTTGTTTGTGTTATTATGTGCTGAGGGGTACATTATAAATTCAGCTGACCAAAGTCTTTGGCTTCAAAATCCTGGACTAATTCAGTCCTAAGATTCTGTAGAAATCTCACCAAGATGAAGCTGCCAGGCCAGGAGGAGTTGGAAGCCCCCAGTTCTACTGAAAATATTCCTGCAGGTCAACTAGATAGCAGCCATGGCACTGGCCCCAGTCCTGATGGGCCCTCAGACATAGACAGCAGGAATTTGGAGGTACCCAAGGACCCTCTGCTCTTCATTCAGCTGAATGAACTGCTGGGCTGGCCCCAGGCTCTGGAGTGGAGGGAGACAGCCAGGTAAGTAGCAGCCAGGTCAGCTTTATAGGGTTCTTCCCATTCCATTTCCCCTAGGGAACTCTGGGGGGCTGGGCAGTAGGGGGTGGTGACACTATGAACCCAAAGGTGGCACCTCTCTGGCAGTTTGAATGCACTCAAAGTTCTAAGAGAGAAAAATGATTGATCTCTTCAAGTATAATGTGTAGCCTCAGAAAACCTGCTGGAAGGTCAGTCAAGAGTCGATTCCAAGTCAATGGCAAAGAGTTTTATTTTGCTCTTTTTAAAAAAAATGTTTCCATTCCCAACGCGCCATCTTCATGGTCCAGTCTTGAGACTCCTCTATCACCATTCAGGATATCTCTGCCTTTTCTTATGTCAGGGTCTCATCCTTGATGATGCCCAGACTTCTTCTCTACAGTCCAGTTCTGAGTTTCTCGAGGCCCAACCTGAATGATGACTACACGGGGAGGGGTGCACCTCGAGACTGCACCAGGCCTACTCCATTACCCACCTTCTCTGCCTCTCCTGTGCTCTCACTCCTGGGCCCGGGAGAGATGCCCCCAAATAACTACGTCTACTCCTTTCTCCGAAGGTGGGTGCTGTTTGAGGAGAAACTAGAGGTAGGTGCAGCTCGGTGGAGTACCCCCCATGTGCCTACCCTGGCACTGCCCAGCCTCCAGAAGCTGCGAAGACTGTTGGCCGAAGGCCTTGTACTGCTGGACTGTCCAGCTCAGAACCTCTTGGAGCTCGTAGGTATGAAGGAAACCTTTGTAGGGAGGGTGTGGGCAGCCATGTCACTCCCTAAAGCCTTGGACTCTTCCAGAGTCTACTCCATCCCACCCTTTGGATGGTTCATTTCTGTTACAAGGCTGAGGGGAGAAACTGGGGTTGGTGGGGGGAGGAATGGAGAAAACGAAAATAGAAAAGCTGAGTGGAGGAACAGGTTCACTGGCGCCTGCATTCCTGGGACTTGCAAAGGGAAAGGGACGTAGGGCAGATGAAAAGGGAGGAATGTAGTAACAAGGAGCCCTCAGGAAGACATTTGAGCCTCACATCTTGTCTCCAGATCAGGTGACCAGAGTGGAGTCACTGAGCCCCGAGCTGAGAGGGCAGCTTCAGGCTCTGCTGCTGCAGAGACCCCAACACCACATCCAGACTACCGGCACAAGAACCTGGTGGGGTGAGAGACCCCTCTATGAGATGGGAGTGTCCTAGATCTCCCTACAACTTACTAGACCAGGACTAGGCTTCAGACCTCAGCCCCAGGACTCATGGGAAAGGGAAGAGAGGGATAATGATGGTGAGAAGAGAACAGAAGGGTTGGAATCCTGACAAGCACGGCTAAACGCACTGAGCCAGCTGCTTTGCATGCACTATCTCATTTAATCTACACAACCACCTTAAGATACTAGTAGCTCCATTATGTCTATTTCATTCTTGTTACGTGCTGTAGAGTTGGAAGCAACTCATAGTTTACCCTCCAGTGGGTTTTTAGAAGCTGAAATCGCATGGGAGGAGATTGTTCATCTTTCTTCTATAGAGCAGCTAGTGGAGTTGAACCACATGCCTTTGGGTTGGCAATGCAACTCCTTACCTCTAGGCCACCAAAGTGATGCACAAACTGAGACCCAGAGAGAGGAATGGTGTGTACAGGATCACACAGTTTATTCATGGCAAACTTGGACAGAGAGGCCTGGTGGATCCACCCACAAAGCCTATTCTTTTCATTAATCATTGCATAATCCTGCCTTGTAGGGTCTGCCCACCCAAGAGAGGCTTCTCCTGATGAGGAAGCCCTCCTAAAGGAACAGGTTAGTGTCCTACCTTGGGGTCCAGCTGGGAGAGGGGTTGGGATTAATGGAGGCCCATTCTCCATTTGCTCTTTCATCAGCAAAGATCTTACCAATGCCCCTCTCCCCAAATAATCTCTCATCCTCTGTGTCTCCCTGAACCTACACCCAGCGTCAGAATCCCCTGAGACAGAAGCTGCCTCCAGGGGCGGAGGCTGGGGCTGTGCTGGCTGGAGAGCTAGGCTTTTTAGCACAACCACTGGGGGCTTTTGTGCGGCTGAAGGATCCAGTGGTGCTGGGGCCCCTTACTGAGGTGCCCCTACCCAGCAGGTGAGAATATTGAGTGAAGGGCAGGGATACTTGGAGCCCAGAAAGAAGGCTTTTATTGGGAAGAGGCTTCTAAGTCTCAGGATCCAGTTCTCTGAGGAGTGGGGATGGGAGTGGTGCTCAGGGGTCTGTTGAGGGGGGTCAGCGGTCTAAGCATATGTATGGAAGCCAATAGAGAGGTAAGAGCTGAACCCGGGAAGTAAGGATTGCCTTGTGGGAAAGCACACTTGTTCTTCTCTGGAGCCTGGTTCCTTTCTCAGGTTTTTCTGTCTCCTGTTGGGCCCCCCAGTACTGGGAAGGGGCTACCATGAGCTGGGCCGGGCAGCAGCAGTCCTCCTCAGTGACTCAGTAAGCTGTGCAGGGGTGTGTGCATGTGCATATGTGTTAATATGTGTGACACCCTATGTGTGAGTGAATGCAGCAAGGTGTAGTGGCTTTGCCTCTGTGAACCTGAGGACCTGGGTGTCCTTGAGTGCCACTCTAAGCCACTGCCTAGAAAAACAGTGGTGCATAGTAGATGCTCAATAAATCCTCACTGAATGAATGAATGCAAGCATGAGCGAATGCTTGATTCGTCTGCAAGATGACCCTTATGTGTCTAAAGTGCATGCAAGAGTATTCATAAAGTACATCCAGATCTACACTTATGCCTGTTCTGTGACTCTTTCCCAGCAATTCCAGTGGTCAGCTCGCAGGGTAGGCAACCTCCATGACCTCCTAGCAGCCCTTGATGCCTTCTTAGAGGAAGTGACAGTGCTCCCCCCAGGTCGGTGGGATCCAACAGTCCGGATTCCCCCTCCCAAATGTCTGCCCTCACAGCATAAAAGGTACCCGGGACCCTAATCGCGTACAGATCCTTCCCTAAAGGCCCTAGATCCAGTTCTAGTGTTAGGGAGGGGCGGGGGTCTCTCTGGATCTAGTCAGGCTGACTTCACCCTGAGTCCTACTCCAAATGCTCTCTCGCTATGGAGTCTTTAAAGCATGCCTCCCCCAGCCTTATGTGCCTATCTGTTCCAAAACTGAACCCTTTGCAGTCCAAATAGATTCTGACTCTCAGTCTGGTTTCCAAGGGAGAAAGCCTGCTTTTCTCCCATGGATTCGTTGGTGAATTCCAACCACTGACCTTTCTGTTAGGAGACTGACACAGTAGGCACCACACCACCTGCACTCCTTTTCTTATTCGAAAGAAGGTACAGTTTAACCCAGACCCCCCTGATGGAAGGCGGGGTCGAGCGGGGCTTGGGGGGTGGGGGGTGGTCAGGGCACCAGCCTCCGGGGGCAGAGCCCCTAGCAGCCACCAGGGGGCAGCACGCCAGGAACTCCGGCGCAGCTGCCGGCTCAGGCTCTTCAGGATTTTCCCTTCCGCTCAGGCCTCTCTCATCACCGTGGGAGGTCAAGGACCTCTCCGTCCCGCGCGGGGTGCTGGCTGAAGACAGGCCTGGCCGAGGGTCCCACGCACCCAACCCAGAATTGCGGAGGACTGGCCGGTGAGACCCCGCGCCGCAGCAGCGGTCGGGCTCCTGGGGGCGGGGCGCGAGGGGGAGGAGTCACAGTGGAAGCCAGAACTCAAGGTGGGAGGAGCTCACCGGGGTGCAAAGAAAGTAGATGGGGACGTAGAACATGGGAACCTGAAGCACTGACGACCCACGGGCGGGAGGCTGTTTGGGGGTCTTGTCCAGGACGTGCGCCGGAAGGCCTCGTGGTATGCCAGCGATTTCTTGGACGCCCTGCACCTCCAGTGCTTCTCGGCCGTGCTTTACATTTACCTGGCCACCATCACCAATGCCATCACTTTTGGGGGACTGCTGGGAGATGCCACCGATGGTGCCCAGGTGGGTGGAGCCGCCTGTGGAGTCCAGCTCTTGCTCTCCCATGGAACTGTGGGCGGACTGGGGAGGACCCCCAGAAGCTTGGACTCCCTGCTCAAGTCCCTTGCTGACTTTCAGGGAGTGCTAGAAAGTTTCCTGGGCACTGCGGTGGCTGGGGCTGCCTTCTGCCTGATGGCAGGCCAGCCCCTCACTATCCTCAGCAGCACCGGGCCTGTGCTGGTCTTTGAGCGCCTGCTCTTCTCCTTCAGCAGGTAGGAGACTTCCTCACCTCACTAACTGCACCCTTGGTTGGTTCTCCTGTGGCCAGCAGGAGAGTGTGGGAGCTACCCAGTTGGCTCGAGGGGGCCCCTAACCTGGGTTAGATGGGGAGCAGAGCAGCCCTGCTGAGCTTTGCCTATCTCAACACCTCCCCTAGAGATTATGGCCTGGACTACTTGCCCTTCCGCCTGTGGGTAGGTATCTGGGTGGCCACCTTTTGCCTGGTGCTGGTGGCCACAGAAGCCAGTGTGCTGGTGCGCTACTTCACCCGCTTCACCGAGGAAGGCTTCTGTGCCCTCATCAGCCTCATCTTCATCTACGACTCTGTGGGCAAAATGCTGAGCTTGGCCCATGCGTATCCCATTCAAAGACCTGGCCCTGCTCTGGAAGGATCATCTGCATTTGGCTGCCTCTGCGAGTTTCCAGGTCCAGGAGGTGGGTGAGGGAGATTGAGCAGGTGGGAGAAGGTGGGGAAGGGGTAAGCGTCGTTTTCTCACTGCCTGTTCCTGTAAAATAATGAGTATTGCTAGGGTCTGTTGATGTGTTTAAGAGGACGCAGTAATCAGCAGCCTCTTTTCCGCTGAGGTTCCAAATCATTTGAGAACTTAGTCAATGAAGCAGGTAGATGGAGGACTACTATCTTCTTTACTATAGAAGAACATGGCAGAGAGATAGTTCTTGTTATTGGGAACCATCGAGTTGGAATCGACCCCATAGCTGACCCTCTGGTGGGTTTTCAGAGGCAGTAAATCACATGGGAGGAGATTGCCCTTCCTTATCCCCCAAAGCAGTTGTGGGATTTGAACAGCATGCCTTGGGGACTGCAGTGCAGCTTCCTGTCACTAGG